TCAAGCAGTGATTCCAGTCAGTCAAAAATCCTGCCCAATGACCTCCCTCCCAGGTGGGGAGTAGGTGTCTCCATCTAATATGAAGAAATATAGGGGCTAGACTTGGCTGACTAGAGAAGTCAAGTAGTGGCTCCAGTGAGCCCAAAGCCTGTCCAATGACCCTGCCCAGACAGGGAGATGCTCACCTTTGTGCATTCTGTAGAAGTGTGGGAGCTAGACTTGCTTGATAAGAGAGGTGAAACAACAACCCAATTCAACTAATAGCTCACCCCACAGCTCCACTCAAACCAGGAGGCGATTCTCAATCATGCATTTCCTTTTTTTCCAATTTTTATTTTAGATTCAGAGAGTAAACATGCATGTTCATTACATGAGCATATTGTATAGTGGTGGGATTAGGTCTCAGGTGGCCCAGTCTCCAGATAGTGAACATTGTGCTCAATAGATAATTTCTGAAGTTTACTTCCACGTCATACCTCTCCCCTCATTGGTGTCCCTAGAAAAGTGCCATATCCACAAATCAATAAATGTGATCCACCACATAAACAAGTAAAAATAAAAACCATATGATCATATCAATAGATGCAGAAAAGATGTTCAACAAAATCCAACATCCCTTCATGATAAAAATCCTCAACAAACTAGGCATTGAAGAAACATATCTCAAAATAATGAGCCATACACAACAAATCCACAACCAACATCATACTTAACCAGAAGTTAAAAACATTCCCCCTGAGAACAGGAACAAGACACGGATGTTCTTACCATTCTTATTCAACATCATACTGGAAGTCCTGGCAAGAGCAATCCAGCAAGACAAAGAAATAAAAGGCATCCAAATCAGCAAAAAGGAAGTCAAACTATCCCTGTTCATAGATGACATGATTGTATATCTACAAAACCCTAAAGACTCCTCCAAGAAGCTTTTAGAATTGATGAATGAATAGCTTCAACAAAACCCCAGGATACAAAATCAAAGTCCAAAAATCTATAGCATTCCTATACATAGCACTCAAGCTGAGAACCAAATCAAGAGCTCAATTTCCTTCTCACTAGTCAATCATGCATTTCTAAGGACCTCACAGAGACTCTGGGTAACGAAGCATAGCTTGCATCCCTGCCCAACTGCAGATCCCAAATAAAAAAACTTTCCAGTTAGGGAATATTCTCTGTGGTGAGCCTGATATATATGGAAGTCATTGCAGTAGCCAGGCGGCACCTCTGCCTGGGTACTGGGTAAGCCTCTAATTGGGCTTTCAGTCCTATGAGGAGATGGATTTAATGAAAGAACTAAGGGTAGGAAGGAATGGGGACATGTGAAGAGTCAAGTCAGAATTCCTGCCCAGAGCAAAGGCAGCAGTTCAGCCATCTAGAGAAGTCAAAACAAACAAGCTCTGCCTGCCTAAGGTCATCACACTGTGGTCCACTGGCTAGAGTTTTCCTAGCCAGCATAATTGGGAAATATACGTTTTTTCTCAATTTTAAAATTGAAAGTTTATTTTTTCAAATTTCCTTATTTTTAAACTGATATATAAAATTGTATGTATTTATTACATGCAACATTATGTTTTGAAGTATGAATACACTGTAAAATGGTTACATTGAGCAAACGAACAAAGGCATTACCTCTGTATAGTTATCATTTTTGTGGTGAGAACACTTAACATCCACTGTCTTAGAATTTTCCAAGAATACAATATATCATCAGTAAGGAAATAGTAATATATTCTTTGTTCCAGGCAATATCTGCTCAGTTGAATTTGGGGTATAAAGAAAAAGGTGAAAGGTGAAAAAGGATATTACAAGATAACTTGCCTCCTCTACCACAGGAGGGAAGGAGCAGACATTATCTCCTACTTGTCAATTTTTGGAGCTTGCGCCTCTGTTTCATGAGTGGAAGTTGCAATCATGAATAGTTGCAAATTATGGCTTTCTTTATTTGGCTAAGTGTTCCAGAGTTAAAGGATGTGTAAGATCATGCTGACCATGCATGGGTTGGAGGACTGTGATGGTGAAGGGGATCATGCTGACCATGCATGGGGTGGAGGACTGCGATGGTGAAGAATATATTACTATTTCCTTACTGATGATATATTGTATTCTTGGAAAATTCTAAGACAGTGGATGTTAAGTGTTCTCACCACAAAAATGATAACTATACAGAGGTAATGCCTTTGTTCGTTTGCTCAATGTAACCATTTTACAGTGTATTCATACTTCAAAACATAATGTTGCATGTAATAAATACATACAATTTTATATATCAGTTTAAAAATAAGGAAATTTGAAAAAATAAACTTTCAATTTTAAAATTGAGAAAAAACATATGTTTCCCAATTATGCTGGCTAGGAAAACTCTGGCCAGTGGACCACAGTGTGATGACCTCGGGCAGGCAGAGCATGATCTTACACATGTTGAAGCATGATTCTCTGGAATCAGATGGTGGGAAGGTGCTTATAAGATCTTGGCCTTCACATAATCCTTTGGAATATAACTCTAGCTCCCCGACATGAAAGGAAGAGTTTGAGTGAGAATGCTCCATGACATGTGGTCTTCTCAAGTTTTAACAAGAATCAGCTTAGAGAAAATTAATTAAGCAAAAGAGATGTATTGGATTTTAAGGATGAATTTCTGAAGACTTTTAGGGACATCCTATGATAACTGAAAGTGACTTTGGCATCTCTTTTTGACAATTGCTTTATGTAAGCAAAGACTTGAGAAGATAAAAGTATGGTCTAGCTTGGAGGCACAAGATTGTGTTCAGGGACTGTCCCTTCTTCCCTTCTTCTTCCATTTCTCTGCCTGCCTGCCTTCCCTCCATCTTTTCCCTGTCTCCTCTTCTTTGATATTTATTGAGATGCTATAATGGGCCAGATGCAGTGCTACACCCCATGGGATATTTGTGAACAAAGTAACACAGAATCCTTGCTTTCATGGGACTTACAGTCCTCTGAGGATATATATTAAACTGAAAATCTAAAGATAGGAAGGAAATGGGGATATGTGCAAAGGGACCTAATTTAGTTTGGGTTGTCAAGGAAGCCTTCCTTGAAGAGATGATATCTGATATGAGGAAGAAAGGATGTGCAGGAGGCAACCAAGCACAGAAGAGCAAGCAGCATCCCAGGCAGAGGAATAATTTTGGCAATGACTTGGAAGAGGGGAGGAGCAGGAGGAAAGAAATAAGGAGGAGAGGGAAAGGGCCAAGGAGCTTGGACTCCGCAGTTTTTTGTAGGCAGTGACAAAGATGACTTGCTTTATCCCAAGAGCAGTCATGCAATAATTCTTCAATAATTAATAAATGCCAACTATGTGGCAAGTGCAGGAGCCAAATCAGCCGCCCTCATGGAGTTTACTTTGAAGTGGGAGAAGACAGACAGTGAGCATGTAAGTAAATAAGTATGCCACATGTTAGATGGTAACACATGGTAAGAGCAATGGGGATTGCTAAGGAATTCAAGGCGGACTTTAAGGGATATGGTTGGTGTGTGTATTTGGATTTGTGTTTAGAGACTGCTTTGACTACATCTTGAAAAACAAGTTGTGGATGTATATGTGTGCTGGGGCAAAAATGGAGACAGGGAGGTCTGTTCCCGCATCATCCAGGTAAGGGATGACTGCATTTTTGGACCACAGTGGTTGTGGCAGTGATTACCCAGGGGTTACTTGTGGAAGAATAAGGCAGGTTTTGGTAGGAATTTTACATGGATATTGATGAAAACCTATTCACCTCGTGTGGCATTCACTTGGCTACTAACTCTGGAAGAGGTGAGATGATGACTTTGTTTCCTGGCATGGTGAATTTGAGAGGCCTTTGAAGCATCCAGTACTGAGTATCAAGGTGAAGTTGTATCTGTGGTGAGGAACTTGGAAGAAACATCTGAGTGATGTAAATATGTATGGTGGACTTTGGTGTCAGGTGGTTACTGAAGCCATGGCCATGCATGGGATTGACTTGAGGGACTGTGGGCTGAGAAGAGAAGGGTCTAGCACCAGGTTTTGAGAACTTTCATTATCTAATGAAAAGGAGTGAACTAGAAGTCAGAGGAAAACTGGGAACATGGTATTATTGCCAAGGGAAGAAAAATTTTCAAGAAAGAACAGCTATAAAAAAGACCAACACTCCTGTGATTAGGTAAGAAAATGTTCTTTGGATTTAACTTCTTATCCAGGACATTTATTGATTGACTTCATGTACAAGACACTCTGCTAGGAGCTGAGATGACAGCATTAAATAGGAAACCTGTGCACTCCTGGATCACACATGCTAATGGAGAAATAGAAACAACAAACACACAAATAAGACCAGAGGAAGATGGAGGGGTGGGAAACCCATTGTGAGCAGGGCAATCAGTGCAGGTGTCTCTGACATGATCTAATTTGAGCAGTTCCTAAATAAAGTGATTAAGAAACTAATGTGAAAATGTGAGGGAATGCCCCCAGGCCTTGGGAACTTTGCATTGAAGGACCGTGAGATAGGACTGTGCTTAGAAGTTCTGAACAACAGCAAGGGGTCTAATGTGCCTAGAGAAGGGTGAAGGAGAAGAGAATCCTGGTAAGAGAGCCAGGGATCAAGGACTTTGTGGGCTCTTTGACTCTTACCAGGGTGAGAAGGGAAGCCTATAGACATTCAGTGACACAGATGCTGAGTTAATGCTGTGTTGCATGAGGGATGACTGAAGAAGAAGCCTGGCTAAAGTTTGTTGAGGGGGGAGGTGGGGGGAAACGAGGAGTGAACTTGATCTGGACAACTCTTTGAAGAAAGAGGAGGGTGGTAGCTGAGGAGGATATGGTGAGTGGTGACCCTTCCACTTCTCTCCACATGGATTTGGGACTAGACTTCTTGTCCCACAAGGGAATCCTAGAACAGGACCCTAAAGCCATAGACACATGCTAGCTATGGAAGACCTTCTTAAATATAATTGTCTGTCTGTCTTCTGCCCCAGTGCTGAACTAAGAGCTCAGGCATTTGTCTCCTACCCCTCTCTCCTGACACCTAAGCATTCCTACTGACTCCACACTTTCCTGTTACCTTCTTTATTGCCCCTGCCACTTCTTTGTTTCTGAGGCTGTAGATGACAGGGTTAAGCAAGGGCGTGAGAACAGTGTAGAAGACAGATACTACATCGTCCTGTCCAGGAGAGTGGTAGGATGCAGGTAACATGTAAGTGTAGACGAGGGGTCCATAGAAAAGGTTGACAACTGTCAAGTGGGAGGAGCAGGTGGCCAGGGCCTTCCGACGTCCCTCCACAGAGTGCATCTGGAGTACAGCAGCCAGGATGAGGACATAAGAGGTAGTGATGAAGGCGATGGGCACCAAGAGGACCACCACACCTGTCACAAAGAGCACCTGCTCGTAGACCTCTGTGTCTGCACAAGCCAGCATCAGCAGAGAGGGCACTTCACAGAAGAAGTGGGCGATCTTTCGTGAGCCACAGTATGGGAACTGCAGGGTCAGTGAGGTCTGGATGGAGGCATTGAGGGATCCTCCCAACCAGGAGGCCATGACCATGAGCAGGCAGACCTGGTGGCTCATGAGTACAGGGTAGCGCAGAGGGTTACAGATGGCCACATAGCGGTCATAGGCCATAAGCGCCAGTAGAATACACTCCGCAGCTCCCAGGAACATGAAGAAAAACATTTGTGCCCCACAACCCCCAAAAGAGATGCCCGTCCAGCCAAAAAGGAAGGCTACTATCATCTTGGGGACTGTGACTGAAGTAAAGAAGATGTCCAGGAAGGACAGCTGGCTGAGGAGGAAGTACATGGGTGTGTGGAGCCGGGTATCAGCCCAGGTCAGGAGGACCATGGCAGCATTGCCGGCTATGGCGAGAATGTAGACCAATACCACCATGCTGAAGAGGAACACGTGCATGGGACTTTCATTAAAAAGGCTGGTGAGGACAAAGCCCATGGTAGAGGAGTGGTTCCAGGGCCCCCTGCTTGCCTTCTGCCGAGCCTCACTATGGGGAGGAAAGTGAATCAGCTCAATCAAAGTCTCAAAAACACCTAATCAGAGACAGAGAGAGAGTGTGATGTGTGAAGATGGCAGAAGGGCAACAACCAAGAAGGTTGGTGAAAGAGGAGCAGAAGTTCTTTGTAATGTTCCTGCAAATTTTTGTAGGGTCAGCATTATTTCACAATCAAAAGTTATTACAAAAAGCATGATGTGCAGCCAAAGCAGTGCTCAAAAGGAAACTTATAAACAAAATGAGTATGTTAGCAAAGAGGAAAAACTAAAAATCAGTGGTCTAAGTTTCCATCTCAAGAACGTAGAAAAGGAACAACATCACATTACAACACCTTCCATTGTGTAAAAAGAAATGCATGCTTAACAATGTTCTCAATACTTAAGCAAACAAATATGTGCACAGGGGAAAAAAGAAACAACCAAACAAAAAACAGTTATTCTCAAGCCTAACCCGAGGACCACATCCACAAATACATGACTTATGTGGTTTAAGATTCTTATTTACTGAATAGGTTCTTCTCTCCCCAGTGGTTATTGGTGGAATCTTTGTCAAAGATGAGTTGGTTAAGAAATTGAAGTTTTGCTTCCAGAATCTCTATCCTGTTTGATTGGTCCATATGCCTGTTCTTATGCCAATACCAGGTTGTTTTGATCATTGTAGCCTTATAATAGAGTTTAAAGCCTGGAAGTGTGATACCTCCTGCTCTGTTTCTTTTGCTAAGGATCGTCTTGACTATTCTTTTTTTTTTTTTTTGAGTTGGAGTCTCACTGTTGCCCAGACCGGAGTGCAG